TGGAATGGCTCTAACAGATTGTTTTCTTGTAAGTGATGACGAAGCTGCTCGAGGACAACCTTTTCAAGGATTTTAGACAAAAAGGCACAAACCTATGTCGGGGGGAGTGTGACTGTCAAGGGAGCCAATAGCCACACAGAAAGAAATAAAGGTGTATGTAATCAGGGAAATTTAACTGCTACAGAAACAACAGTTTGGAATCTCATGTTGCTCCACTCCTCCAAAGACAAGGCACTACTTTGCAGAAACACAACACAAGAACCCATACTGCACGTCTCACCATGGACCATCTCAAACAAAACAGTTTTCAAATACAGGGTTATCAGCCAAAAAACTAAACAATATTTTTTGTAAATGATATTTACAAATATTATTCCCCCCTACACCGAAGTTTTGTTTTTCAAATTTGTGCACAACATGCTGGAGTCAAAAGGAATTAGTCTGATATTCATGTTAGATAATCCACAAAATAGTTTTTTTTCTACAAAGCGCGTAAAAAACAATCCATTTTCAGCAATGTCACCGTTTTTGTAGCATGACACACTATTTGGCATTGGCCTAGATCTACCACTAAAAGTTCCAACGATTGCGCCATATTGCAAGCTACTGTGGTCTAACAGGCCAACAGGAGTTGGCAGGTAGTTTTTCTCAAGTTTCCTTTGCCTTTTTAGATGATCATGGTTAAGATTAGTAAAAAGCAGAGTGCTTTTTGTATTGAACATTTCCAACTCAGTTCGTACAAGCTGTGGAAGCAATGTTAAAGTGTCTTTAAGGTCGCCTTTGATATCAAGAGTGAAAATGATCCATCTGTTAGGACCTGTAGCGAAACAGAACTAAAAATTCCCAGACAAAATTACCACTTTAGGTCCAGCACACACCCTTTCCAACACCTTTAAATTTAAACGTCACCAGGGAGCAGCATTCAGTAGATGAGCCCCATGAGACGCCTGTCTGTAGACAACGTCTGCAGCTAAGGCCGGTCCCAGACTGGCTCTGTAGGGCTGACCTGTAGGTGGCCTGGCGCACGCCGTGTGCGTGTCAGCACAACCGCACTGTGGGTTGGCGCCTGTGTCTCAGCGAGCGCGAGGCACACTCGCTGTGTGTCAGCACAGCCACAGGGCGTGTTGACGTGTGTAGGTGTGCAACTGACGGGTCTGCCTTGCTATATTTAGGTACTGTGTAATCCAAGACCAATTATTATACCAAGACGGGACAACTCTTCTTTACGTCATGTGCCAAGTGCAGC